CCAAAAAAAGGTGTGTGTTTCTTATTTTTGATAATTATTCAATTACAAATTCAGTTTGGTAAAACCTTGATATAATAATTATTTTACTGGATTGAGATCTTATTTATTGTTCATTAAATTTTACAGGATTTGCAGGGGTTTACATTACTGGTGAGATAAAGAAAACCACATGTTGATAATTTAGAAATATAATAGATGAGACTCTGAGAGCTCATTGGTAATATCATGACTCATAAATTCCATACAAACCCATATTGTCAGAATATATCAGTTGCTTAACACTGCCGAAAAAATATGAAATGCAGCATCTCTTACATATTTATAGATGGGTAGTGACGCCTAGATTTATGAACCCCGGAACAAAGTTCATTGCACAAAATAAGCAGAGATGATTATTTCTCAATATTTTTCTAAACTAAATGGATTATGGCAGAAATTAGATTACTATCAACATTTTCAAGCAGAGTGCCCTGCAAATGCAGTCAAATTTTAAAAATTGATAGAAAAAGAACGAATTTATAATTTTTTAACTAATTTGAACATCAAATATAATCAAATACGGGTCTAAGTGCTTGGTAAGGATTATTTTCCTTCATTAGAACAACTTATGCTTATGTTCAGCAAGAAAAGAGTAGAAAAAAATGTCATTCTTCACATTGCACCAGTTGAGAAGGTTGGATTAGTTGTTCAATCTGATCAATTCAGAGATATATGGAAGCATGATTATTGTGGTAAGCCAAGACACAAAAGAAAAATTTGTTGAAAGTTGCATGAAAGACCAATTAGATGTCAGGGAGGAAGAAGAGGTGAAATCACAAGAGCTCAAGCAAATTTTGTTGAACTTAGGGAAACACCTGATTCACAATCCGTTGGAGCCTTTTTCACAGAAGAAATTCAAAATCTGAAGCGCCTTCTAAGTCAACTTAACTCTCTATCAACTGTTGGCACATCAAATATGGTAAAATCAGGTATTGTTGATCCTATTTCCACTCCTCATAATTGGATCATAAACTCTGAAACTAACAGACACATGACAGGCTCTTATAAAGAATTGTTAACATATTCTTCTTGTACTGAAGGGGATAATGTATGTATAGCAGATGAGTCATACACCCCTGTGTTAGGAACAGGTTCCATTAATTGTACTCCTACTATTACACTATTTTCAGTTTTACATGTGTTTAATTTTTCTAACAATTTTTTATCTATTAACGTTATAACTAGAGATTTCAACTGTAAAATTGAATTTTTTCCTGAGTATTACATCTTTCAGGATCTTCAAATCGAAAAAAGGATTGGCATTAGTAGACTGCAAGATGGCTTATATGTCTTGAATAAACATCTGAAGTTAATTGAAAATCAAGCAATCATTGGAAATAAAGAAGTCAATATGGAGATACTACAATGGCACCACCGATTGGAACATCTTTTCTTTTTTGTTTTAGAAAAAATTATTTAAAAGAACTTTTATGCAGTCTTTATTTTGTTATACATGCAAACTTGCTAAACATAAGAGCAGCTCTTATCATTTAAGTAATAATAGACGTAATGACCATTTTATGACTATTCACTTTGATATGTGAGGACCTACTCAGAATACCTCTCTTTCTATTTATAAATAATTTGTTATTTTTATTAACTGTTGTACTAGATTAACATGGATTTATCTATTAAAAGCAAAATGTGATGTATTTTCATATTTTTTATCTTTCCACAAAATGATATATACACAGTTTGGTGCTAAAGTTAATATTCTGTGAACTAACAATAATACAGAATATATGAATAATGGATTATGTGCCTACTTGGAGTCAAATGGGATAATTTATCAGACAAATTGTACCTACACCAGTGAACAAAATGGGGTTGCTGAAAGAAAAAACAAACACATACTAGAAGTAACTCGGTCACTAATGTTCACCATGAATCTACCAAAGAATTACTGGAGAGATGCAATTCTCTCAGTTATCTATGTTTGCAATAAAATGTCTTTGCGGGTCTTGAATTTTAAAAATCTTATGGAGATTTTGTAAGAAAAAAATTTCTATATTGTTTCCTCAAAAGTGTTTGGATGTGTGTGCTTTGTTCATGCTAAAAATGTGGGTAAACTAGAACCTAAAGCTCTTAAATGTGCATTTGTTGGATATTCTTCTACCCAAAAAGACTAAGTGTTATCATCCATCATTTAGAAAATAGTTTGTAACTATGGATCTTACCTTTAAAGAGAATAAGTCTTACTTCAACTCAAACCCAACACCTCTTCAGGGGAGAATGAGAAAGAAGAAGTGATACCTAATTGGGTAACGATTAAGAATCACGTTTAGGGAAAAAAATTTATTACAGAAAGTTTTGATCAAGAAAATAATGTCGGATGTCTAGATAAACCAAACTTGAAAAGATATTCAAGGAGAGAGAAGTATGAAAAAGCCATTATTCAGTCTGTCCCAGGTCAAAAATTTTCTTTGGTTTCAGAAGATACTAGTAACTTATCTTTCTCTTGTGATTATCAGATAAACCTATTACTAGTAGAAAAAGAACGAGAACTTGCACTAAGCACCCTATATCTAACTTTGTTTCTTATGACTCTCTATCTCCCTCCTATAAAGTCTTTATCTTGTCTGTTTCTTCTGTATCTATTCCATAGAATTTAAAAAAAACTATAAGAGATCCCAAGTGGAAGAAAGTCATGACTGAAGAAATGAGAGTATTGACAAAGAATGAAGCATGAGAACTTGTTTCACCTCCACATGGAAAGAAAATAGTTGGTTGCAAATGAGTGTTCACTGTAAAACACAAAGCAAATGGATCAATCGAAAAGGTACAAAACTAGATTGGTGGCTAAAGGATTTACTCGAACCTATAGGATTGGCTATCAAGAGACATTTGCACCTGTTGCGAAGATGAACACAATTAGGATACTTTTGTCTTGCACAGCTAACCTTTATTGGGATTTACAACAGTTTGATTTAAAAAATACATTCCTCTATGGAGACTTAGAAAAAGAGATGTACATGAAAATTACACCAGAATTTGAAGATGAGAGGATGCAATGAAAAGTTTGTCAATTAAAAAATGCCTTATAAAGATTAAAACAGTCTCCAAGAGCATGGTTTGAACGGTTATGATCTCTTTTTGATCTCCAAGGCCTTATATGATCTCTTTTTGATATCAACAAAGCAATACGGATCATACTTTGTTTATTAAACATTGTGAGGGTAAGGTCACTCTTCTCATTATTTATGTGGATGGTATTGTGCTGACTGAAGATGATACAAAGGAGATGGCTCAATTGAAGGAACTTCTTGTTCAAGAGTTTGAAATAAAAAATTTAAGGAAATTGCAATACTTCTTGAGAATTGAAGTTGTCAGATTCAAAAAAGAGATCTTCATTTCTCAAAAGAAGTATATCTTACACTTACTAGAAGAGACTGATATAATGGGTTACAAGCCGACAGAATCACCTATTGAGAGCAACCACAAATTGCAAAGCACACACATCCAAATACTGATATAGCATATGCAGTTAGTCTTCTGAGCCAGTACATGCATGATCCTCGTGAGACTCATTTACATGTTGTCTTCCGCATATTATGATACCTAAAATCTGCACCAAGAAAAAGTCTGTTTTTTTCTAAACATGATCACCTTAAAATATAAGTATTTACGAATGTCGATTGGGTTGCGTCCCTAGATGACAGAAGATCAACTACAGGTTACTGCACACTTATAGGAGGCAACTTAGTCATATGAAAAAGTAAAAAATAAAGTGTGGTTGTTTGCTCCAATGTTGAGGCAGAATATAGAGCAATGATCCAAAGAGTATGTAAAGTACTATGGTTGCAAATGCTAATGAGGGAATTAAAACTGCTTAAAGATGAGAAACTATCCCTATTTTGTGACAAGAAAGTAGCAATTAATATAGCACGTAATCCAATTCAACATGACAAGACAAAACACATTGATATTGATCAACACTTCATAAAAAAAAAGGTGATTGGTGGCTCTCTATGCTTATATCATGTATCTTCTGGCGACCAAGTGGCTAACATTTTCACTGAAAAACTATGCAACAAATCTCTTCAGAACCTGATTTGCAAGTTGGGCATGTGTGATATCTTTATTCCAACTTGAGGGGGAGTGTTGATAAAGATTTCATGCTAAGTAGAATACTATATTATTAGAGTTCTAATAGTATAATTAGAGTTCAAATAGAATAAGAATAACTAATTTATATATATCTTCTAAATGTAAACAAAACATAACTAAAAAAAATTATAAGTTTATTTTTTCTAAAAACTTCAATAAGATGGAGCATTTGAAAGCTATAAAGCTGGACTAGTAATCAAAGGTTATATGCAAATTCATGGAATAAACTATTAAGAGACATTCGCACCAATTACAAAAAAGAATACAGTGCAAGTTTTGTTATCTCTAGTTGTTTACTTCAACTAGCAGTTACAACAAGTTGATGTTAAAAATGCATCTCACAGAGAGAGTTATAAGAAAATAGCTATTTGGAAAGTCCACCAGGATTTGCCAATAAAACAGGTACAAATGTGTAAACTGTATAAAACACTTTATGGGCTCAAGCAATCACCTAGAGCATAATTTTAAAGTAATGTTGGGCATGGAATACAAGCAGAGTCAAGGAAATCACACCCTCTTTATCAAGCAAAATCCTATTCAGGTAGAGTTA